CGGGGTACGCTTCGAGACGGTGCAATTCCCCGGCGTCAAGTCTCTCCAGCAAGTCTATGATGCAGCCGTGTACTACCTCACGAACAGGGAGATTACAATGTCACAATGGAAACGAGCTCGCTTTTGTTTCCGAAGATGGATCCAGATGGGCAATACGGGATGGTCGTGTTCGACTCCATCGACCAAGACGAACTCTATCCGTACAACTGGGCTGAGCGCGTTCGGAAGGATGTGTCAGCTACTGCTGTTTTCACAGTCGGCAAAGAGGATAAAGGTGAGCTAGTTGTGACCATGCGCCGTGCGGCGTTCTTAAAGATTTACCGACCTCACTTCTCGCTCTCCGAGGACGTACTGCAAGAACTTGCGACGGGTGATGTCATGCTCAAGACCGTGCGTAGTATTGTGATCGTGCGATTCTGACCACCATGAATCCATGATCTGATTGGATAAACTAACTAATATGCTGTGAGTGGAAAACCGGTATAAGCGGATTCTATTGTTGCACAGCGCTAGGCGCGAAAACTGTGCGAGTATTTTTCATAAAACTCACAGATTTTTACCAAATAAAAAACATACTACGAGAAGGGCCGTCGTATATGCCACATCTTTTGAATTTGTGAGTATGTGAGTATTTTAAAATGGCCTTTTTAGCCACTCCATATATGTCAGTCGTTCCATTTTGAAATGAAATACCAACACTCTCATCATCAGCAACTTTGATAATATTTGTAGGCTGGTGTTACAGGCCAGGATTATTTACATGAATATGCACGTGATTATCGTCATGGATAATCCTGGTTGTGAAGTCCTAACTTAAAAAAGTAGCCATATGGGAAAGATTCGAGAAGATTCGTTGAGGATGAGGAAGATACAAATGTGTGACTGAAAAGCATCCAGGATTGATCCTGTTCGTACCAGGACTAAAATACTGGAAGTCGGATTTGTATTGTAATAATTGGACCAATGTACATACTTAATCCTGTATTAGGACATGATTAAATCCTGGAAAAAGAACTTATAATTTTGCTGACGAGTATCTATGTCTATACTGGACATCCGAGAGTATGTAAACGAAGACATTAACTTGTAGATGACCAGTGTACACTGAGGTACGCTTGATGATTGGAAATGCACTGGAGTTTATTACTCCTACGTAAACTCTCATGGATAACTGCTCTTCCACCGGCGTCTGCGCGACTTCTTCTCCTCCCATTTGGCTGTATTATCTTCACTGTAAATTGCGGAACGTTTTTCTTCCAAATCCATGGGTTCCACACCCTCCGAAGCTCTAGCTGTAAGAAGATTTCCAGACAGTAAGTAATAGAAGAGCTCGAAGCGACGCTTGGTGAGCGACTCGACGCTGACATCGACAGGGATTCCGCGGACTACCTGTCGGATGAACATCCACGATACGTACACACCGCAACTATACCCATCAAACTAGATGGGATTGTTCCGTGCGATGACATCGTAGTCATGGAGTCCAGATATCTTGAGATGTGTTGCAATAGCGTTAGCTGCCTGCTTGTAGGTGGTGTGATTCAGGGGATCGTAGAAATAGATTCGCTTGGGTCGCCCTTGACTGTCACGCAGCACCAGTGAAAGTTATCGAAAATCAGTGGTAACAGAACCGTATCCACTCCATCATTGGCAATTTGAGCAAGAACATGTTCGCGTACAACTTTGTCGACCGCGCCGTCATCTTTGTTCCGAGTTCGCTTCGTTTTCGGGACTGCAGATTGGAATCCTGCAAACCGGCAATTGGGGTAATCTTGAGATAGTCGCCAACATAGCGCCCGTATAGCTCCGTCATTCAACCAGGTGGGCGGTATTGCCCTGTACAGCAACGCGAATTGGTTCGGCATATCCGGTATACGCTGATATGGGTACGTCGTCAGAACTTCGTTCGCAATTTTCTGTGCAAGCTCATGATATTCAGCTGGTAGCGTAGGAATTGCTTCTTCCGTGAGCCACTTGAGTAGATCTAGACCCATCTGCACTGCATCCTTAAGGTTTTGTATCCGCTTAAAGGTATCTATCTGCTTTCTGGTGAAGTTCCCAACATCCTTTACAGCCACTGTCTCCACGTTACGGGGCATAACAGCTTTATCCGGGCTCGTCACTCGGGCATCTTGGTCTTCCTCAATCGAAATGGCGTTTTCTGGGGTATTGGATACCGGTAGCACCTTCAGACACGCATCGAGGAGTTTGGAAGGTAGTAGGTAGAACGGATCCTGTATTAATACAGGATTCTTCAAGAGTTTGAGCTTTGGTTTCTTTTTCTCCGCTTTTGCGTGGCCAGAAAGCCGCCTCTGTGTCTCAACCAAGCCAGGACGCTCTCGGTTGAGGGTTTCAATCAACGCCAGCAGAGTGACCTCCCCTGCTGTCTTACGACCAGCTTCGGCCGCTTCATACTACTTTCTGTCCGTTTTCTCGTTCGCAAATGTTTTCTTCTTTGGTTTTCGAGATGCTCCAACCTTTTTCTGCGTTTGGGTTTAGTCGGATTGGCACATGAGATCCTGCCGCTATCACGTCTTTGTCGGCGTTGTCATCTTTTCTGTAAGTATTGCCATCCCCATAGTGATCGTAACTCGACTCGTCGTCCGAACTGCTACTGATCTCAAACTCCTTCCTAACAACAGCATCTCCCATTACAGAGAGCGACGCATTCGCGGAAACCACCTTTCGCTGTGTGGGAGTACATACCTCGGTTTGATCTGCCATCTTGCGCTGTCTAACATTTCTCCACTGGTTCATAACAAATTCCAACATGTCATCAAATTCTGCATCATCTTCGATGTCGGCCATCTCGTTGGCTATTAGGTGTGTAGCCCGGACAGCCTCCCTGTACCGGTCCGAATGGGTTCTGACCTTTGCGGCGGTGCTGCCGACTACAGAACTGGAAAACCTCTCGTACACAAACTGTTTAACCTTCTTCAATTTCTGTGTCGAAGTAGTCCACCTAGAAATCATGGACAAATACAGGATTAATTTCGAATACGGTTAGGTAATATCCAAAAAAATCCTGTAAACAACCAGGATCGCGTGAATTCCATGATTTAATGTGGAAGTAGACTTACCTCTGGTCGATGCGGCTCCACGGGATAAGAGGACCACGAAAACCGACATGTTTCCTGTAAGCAATAGCGTGGCGGCAAGGCAGACACATCGACGCCACAAAATCGCAGTCACAACTCCAATCATCGACGCGGAGTCTGTGTTCTTGAAACAAACCACGCACCAGAACAACGCGTGCGTCTTGCCCGTCTTCCTCGCAGTTGTATCGCTCGGACTTAGCAACACCAGCTGCATACTGTCGCTCGATATGTTGAGCAACGAAATGAGTCGTAAACCGGAGAATGTTCTGCATTTCTTCATCGTAGTTGGAGTTTACGAACTGACCGATGCGAGCCAAGCGGTACTCGTACTCATTTTGTTTGCGACGATCGTACGCAATCAGAGCTTTAACACACATAGCCATGCTCATAGATCCATCTACACCCTCTTTTAACTTCCCAAAAAAGGCTTCGAGTCGTTTATTCGTGTGGTTCGAGAAGTGAGGTAGCTTGGCTCTCAGAAAGTAAACCCAGCGCTCACGAGATGAATCCCAATTCTTCAGAAAGTATTCGTAAAATCCTTCCAATCCACATCGGTTGCATATACCCTTCAGAGACGCGTTGGCTTCGTTGTACTGATCTTCTGTCGCAGCGTACACCATCTTATGAACAGCCGCGTCAATTTGGCTGGCATCCTCAGACGAGATTTTCCCAAACACGGGTTTATCTGCATTTCCTTGAGATACTTTATCACGTGAAAGTGACAGATGATGATACTCGCCTCGGGGAAGTTCGCCTCCAATACACGGATTTCATTCAGGTCTTTGTCCACAACAATAAAAAAAACACGGAGCAGATCGATCCGCGTCGGATGTGATCTTTTGAAGTGAGTGATAGCTCGTTCCATATGCCAATCACCGTTAGCTTCAATGAGCGATTGCTGCACAACTGCTCCCTCTCCGAATTCATTCATTCCCATGAAAGTTAAAAGCTGATAATTGTACCTAAAATCATGGAAACATACCGGATTCAGTCCTTGAAAAATCCTGTACATCAAATACGAAGCTGTTCACTTCCCTGTTTGTCTTGTGACTGCAATCAACTAGAAAAACTTCACTGAAACGGCCGAAAATGCGCCGCATGTGTGCCGTTGCAAGTGAAATGACGCCTGTCTCTCCAGAACCAGTCTCCGCAACAGAGGAGATATTCTCAGGATCAGCTGCAGCGAATAGCGCGATTTCCCTTGCAGTTGCCTCGTTATTATCTACGCACGAGACTGCAGACGAATGTTCTCGAACCAAGTTATCCACATCATCTTAGATAACATTCTCGTCGTGTTCGAGAAGATAATCGTAAATGTGGGAGCGATTGGTCTCCACCGCCAGCATTCCATCCACACGAGCACCTACCAGTGGGTCGAGAACGCCACGTGATGACGGATACGTCGCAAACGCAGCTGGCGAAACTGGGTGGTTGTGAACGAAACAGCCATTCTTCACCTGCAACTTGCCACGTACAAAATTCCACTGAACCACAAAGCGAAACTGGCAATCCGTGAGTCGAATATGTTGTCTGGGTCTGCTGCCTTCACTTCGAGACTTTCGTTTCTTCCACCCGTGGGTGCATATATAGGTGCGCTGGTAGGGATCAAAGCCCTCCGGCACCAGTTGCGAGTCGTTTCCCCCCTTTCTTCGTCTTCTTAAGGCGCTTGTTTCGTTCGGTCCTGGACATCGTCTCCTTTACGGGCAACACCTGCAACGTGCGCTGGCAGTACGCTACAAAATACGTCTGCCACGCCTCCCAATTAGCATGATATTTCACTGGCGGCTCAACACAGACAGATGCGGCATCGCTGCTGACTTCGTCTTCACCATCTCCATCTGATTCCGAGGAATGCACCGCTTCTACATTCCGCACTGACGCGACCTTGCTGTCGCAGGCTCGCTCCGTTTCGGCTTCGTTGCTTGGACTGTTGTAGCTCTCTTCACGCTCGTCGTCCTGATCTCGACCTTCCTCCTTGCGCCCCTCCACTTCAGACCCGCCAACGAGATGTGTAGCAGAGAGATCAGAGCTTGAGCGGTGAGCGGGGAGCGCTCGCTCCTTTTCGTGACCGCTCGCGGCGCTCGCGGCGCTCGCGGCTTCTCCAGCGCCGTCCAACGGCATCTTATCGGGACGGTAAAAACCGAAATGAGAAAGCTGCGAAAATATAAAATTCGGAAATAACGGAGTTGGTAATGAATTTTAACTTTCAATCCTGGATACCACCATTATTTTAATCATGTCTATTCTCAAGTAAATAATCCTGGCCTCCAACGGTTGCGATATTTGTATTACCGTAGAATCAAACAATAGAATGAAAATTACTCGTAGAACCAACCCAATATAATTAAAAGCAAACTTAGCTTGATTATTACCAGAATTATCGTAGCCGTAAGTTAAACCATACATCGATGAATTAGTAGCCAGTGTGTTATTCAAGATTGATAGAAACCGAGCTGTATCATTCGATGATCTCATACATCATATTTTTCCTTGATTAACGCTCTCATAGCTTTATTCAACTGAGGAACAGAGATAGAAGCACCTTCTTGGTGTTTACACTTCTCAGAGATGAATTGGTAAGTGTTATTCGTAGCCATACGAAGAAGGTTGCGGTTCTCAATGAACGATACCAGACATAACGTCTCAACTCCTTTGTTCTTGTATTTGGAACAAACCTTCAGATAAGTTGATCGACAGCGGTGTAGAAAGACGCCAAACGCTTAGTCATTAATCTCATTTTCAAGATTCGTGTTTCTGCTTTCTTCAGGAATGATTTTCTCAAAGTTAGCAATCATGAAACGACGAACTACTTCACCAGATTCATCTTTGTGGTTTGGTCGTTTGTTGCTACTGATAATTGTTGGAATATCCCAGTCATGGACTGGAATCGAGCCTTTTCCTTTCACAGGACATTGAACTGAACCACGCGTCCCCATACTCAAGGAATCAGCCTTTGGTAGTGTCTTAGCAAGATTATTTATATCATCACAGCATATAATTTGTTTCTTAGCATATTCAGATAATCCAAACTGCTCTTGGTGAGAATTGGATAACCAACATAATCGTGAGCAAATGAATACTTTACAAGGTTCATTAAAAAGGATTTACCTGATCCGCCCTTACCAAATAGGAATACCATGAAATCAAATTTATCGCTTAGCTTAGTCATCAAGTGACCAATCATAAAATAGATAAACTCGATAGTCTCATCATCGATCTGAAATTTCAAGTACTGATCAAGTAGAGGAGCATAGTCATTGTCAAATATCAAATTCCGAGTCAATGTATGTTCGGTCTCTACAATATCAGTGGTCAAAATAAAACTAGACAGATCGTAGATACCATTCTTGAATCCAATATAGTTATAATCTAGTTTAATGAACTCAAAGTTCGGCTTGATAATGTTCTTGATGAGTAAAGTAATTGCTGATGATCTTGTGATTTGTACATTTGAAACAGAGGCTCAGTTGTCAATACTACATTTAGAAACGTAGCCGGATCGTCGTATTTACGAACATAGTAATACGGAAGCATATTCTCATAGATGGCAAATTCACGCTTATATTTGTCTTTGACGAGATCAATCAGCTGCTCTTTGAGAATATCCGAAGGCGTTTTCTTTTCCTTTTTCTTTGTCATCTCTCTTTTCTTTGACTTCCTTTGGCTCGTAATCTTCTTTCCATTTGTTGTATGACGCGCGGTCAGTTCCGCCAGCAATGGATTTGATTTGAGCCTCAGATAGCTTCAGATGATATTTGGATGTTTCCCAATCATTAAACCCTTTCAATGCAGCGGCTTGATCAAATCGATCTGTCATTGTATGAAGAATGCACAAATATGTTTTGTTACGCATTAATCCAAGATCGATGTGTTGCTTGCGATGTAGCACACCAGCCAAGTTCCACGTATTATTGTTATCACAAAACCATGATCTCTTCATCATGGAACATAGTTTGTATAGACGCTGATCGTATAGTCCGTTTGACACACAATATTCAACAAAATTAAGTTTCTCATAAAGCCTTAAGAAGGTTTCTATGTCGTCATCACTGGTGCGACAATCGACTCATCCACATTTCGAACTTCACTTACTTTGACATTCGAGGTCTCGACGGGTTCGATCACCGATGGCAGTGGTGTATCAACAACCTCAGTGACGACTGGGGTATTGACTTGTGGTGGCATTTCCACCACAAGTCAATACCCCTAAGGTTGTTGATACTTCTACTATATTACTCTCCACGGCAATAGTTTCCTGATCCATAATAATTGGGTGCTAGCCGCAGCGATCCTTGTTGCTGCCTAGTTTACACTGTTCTCCGTTTGCTTCTGATAAAGTTGCACATTGTTATATTACTAAGGTTATGTTTTATTTTATATTTTACATATTCGTCGCTCCTCTTTGCCGACTGTGAAAACAGCAGTAGCTGACACATCCTTCCGAACGCGCTCAGCCGAGTTGTACGGATCGAGTTCGTCTTGGTCGGCACGACCATCCCGTATTGCCCATCTGGATCCATCTTCGGAAACAAAAGCGAACTCGTTTCCATTGTGACATTGTCGAGAAGAGCCGACAGTACCCGAGCGTTGTATACACTACCGTCAAGTGTCTCGTAGTCGTCCCTGACCGTGATGTGCCCCAGTCGCTCGGTGATACTAATCTCCCTGTTCGTGAGGTAGTACACGGCTGCATCATAGACTTGCTGGAGAGACTTGACGCCGGGGAATTGCACCGTCTCGAAGCGTACCCCGCAGAAATCTCCTTGCGCCGTCCCGAAGCGCTCGTCGGAATACTGAGCCTTAGCTGGGTCGACGTAGTGTCTAGGATCCATGACGAAGTCGTACGCATTGCGTAGCTTTTCCTCTCGAATAGAGACGAGTTTAGCTCGGCGTTGGTCCCAGTTTTTTTTTTTTTTTTTGGGGAGGCAAATGCGAGTGTAGAGTGGATGAGATTCTTGAGCTCCCTGCAAAACATGTTGATGTTACTTTTGAGTTTTTGTCGTTGGGAAGCGAGAACGTACCAAACATCGACTCAATGCGGACAGTGCCTTGGCAATTTGGAGGTGCTTCTTCCGGCCACTGTGGCTCAGCTGTGCGATCTCTAACTCAGCTTGTTTTAAGCGTGGATCTCCATCTGGACCATGTCCAGACCGATATTTCAGCACCGCGATTTCCGACTCGAGTTCGTGGAGCTCTTCGCGAAGGAGTTTAGCTTCCTCCTGTAAGTGAGAACATTTTACAGGGTCAACAAGAGAGCATTGTTGCACACGTCAACTGTGACTTTATCCGTCGCGCTGCGTAGGTGCATCTGCGTCGCTTGGGTTTCGCCTCGTCCAGAAACTGGGTTTGCTCCGCTGGGTCGTGTGCGTCATGTAAGGGCCGTTGAAAACTGACCTGACAGCTTAACGCCATTTTCTTTCGCGAGTAGTGGGACTTGATTCGTGTCGTTTGCTGATAAGTTGGCAAATTCTGAAGTGATCTCACTTCACGTGACCTCATCAATATCCTGAGCAACACACCGGTACGTGATGACTTGTTTCAAGTGTTGGTGTAGTTTACTTTGGGATTCCCAGTTGGTTTTCGTGTCATGGGCAACTGCGAAAGCCTTTCCAAGTTGACGCGCATCCTACCATCTGCAATAGGATCGATTCTCAGTATTGCAAACGAGCGGGCTCTATAGATAATCCTTACGTCTTTTTGAGGAAGTAGCTCAACCATACGTGCAAACAGAAAGGACTGTTTAGTCATGATGACAGCACCTTTATTAACTGGAAGACAACTGCATTATTACGTGGTGGAAGGCGTGGGTTTCAGACTGCAGCAGAACCGCATGAATCCATGGCAGTGCTTTTTTCTATCCAAGGCTACGGATGACTAGATTCATCACGGTACGTAGATCGACAACGGCGGTTGTTTGTACACCAGTTGGGAGAGCTCGATTCGCAAGGATCGACAAGATTCGGCGCATGTCGAAGGAGACATTGACAGCGGCTCCAGCAGCGTTGTGTCGAAATGTTCCACTTGCAGTTGGCGCTGGTAGAATGCCAAGTTCGGCGATGTCATACAGCGCGTATCGCATTTGAATACCTTGAGGACTGATCTTCAACAGCAGAACATACTGGATTCCACTGTAATTGCACCACCATTGAGCAGCTTCTTCCAGACTCGCCCAAGTCTGAGATCTTCCAACCTCCAC